TCTGCCTCGTATAATTGACAGATGGAAACATTGATTTTTAATTTGGAAAGAGATACTAAAAACTCTAATAATTTAGTTACAAATTGCTTAAAAGATCATCAAAACCGGTCCACTAGAACACAACATATAAAACTTTTAATCACGTGAATATTTTAAGGTGTCCGATTTTCGTAAACTAGTAACTCGTGTAAACTAGATGAATCGCTTAAAATAATTCTAGAAGGTTTCATTCTTAAATCCACTGTATATCGATAAGGGTAAATGCAAAGTATACTAAACTTATATTTTTGAAATTAACTAAAATATGTCTACCGGAACATTCTAAAATATGTGGGGGGTCCCATTTAAAAAAAACATGATGGCGTCATATCTGTCAAAATTGACTTTTGACAGATTTTTTAATAAAATTGACTTTATTAAATAAGTAATAATGTTTATATGTACTCTGCAAGAAAGATTGCAACAGCTCATGAAAGACTGTTTGAACGAAGATGACGAATTAACTACTGAACATTATCCTAACCTACAACAAATTAGGCAAAGAAAATAAAGTCCTCCTACTCTGGATGCCTGCTCACCAAGGGATAGAAGGCAATGAAAAAGCAAATGATCTAGCTAGAAAAGGAGCGAACACTCCACTAACTGGACCAGAACCGTTCGGTTTTCCAAACGGGAACCAACTAAAAGCGGAACTGAAGAATCTGAAAGACTCCATCCGTAACTTGGAATGGGTGTCCTCCAACGGTCTAAGACACTCGAAAAACTTCCTCAGAACTTACGACCGAGAAAAATCAAAGGCTTTCCTTGATTTAAATAAGAACCGTCTTCGTATTGTCACGGGGTTTTTAACAAGACACGGTCTCCTCGACGAACACCTCAGCAGGCTGAAACTGAGAAACAACGGCGAATGCAGATTTTGTTGTGAAAATGGGGAAACACCAGAACACCTTATCACTGAGTGCGCCGAGACGACGACCATTCGTGCCATGAACTTTGGTACGTCTGCTGTCGAGGATGGAGAGCTGGCCTCTGTGGAGCCGTCTCAGATACTGGCTTTTGTTAAAGCCCTGAGACTGTATGATGAGTTATAACTCGTTATAACTCAAGAAAGGGGAACACACAATAAATCTATAAGGTCGCGGTGATTAACTCCCGTGCTAAACATTCTACATTCTACATGTACTCTGCAAGAAAGATTGCAACAGCTCATGAAGGACTGTTTGAACGAAGATGACGAATTAACTACTGAACATGACGATGAAAAGGAAGAACCGGAAGTGGATAGTGGATATAGAAAGGCGAGGGCGCCGAGGGCCCAAAATAAATCCTGATACTGAAAAATAAATGTCAGAGTGTGAAGCACCGAATACAGTATTACCAGAGCATCGGCACTACAGAATTGTGATAGGCGGAAAAAACAGACCAACTCATTACGCTTTGTACAGGGTCACAATTTCGTATGTTTTGAGTACACGCAAATATTCTGTAATCACTGTTATACAGATTGATTTTTTCATTATTATTAATTATTTTTGTTTTTGAATAGTATTTATTAATTTGTTTTTTTGAGTGTTTTATGTTATATATTTTATGTTTATGTTTGCTATTTGTAATGAAGCAAGTCAATAAATCATTGTTATTTTGATTATCATATTATTTTATGTCTTTACACCACGAGCAACGCTTAAGACCTCTTGAATTTAGCATGCGGACTCAGAGTCCGCGCGCGGCCTATCATGTAACAAATAAAGCGCAACCTCCGAAAGGTTAAGAGTTCTAATCCATTCCAACTGACTTCAGAGAAACTATACATCTAATTAAATTACAATCATTATTATCTGGAAGTGTCTCGGCCCCGGATACTTGAAACCATCTCCGTGTCGCAAAAACCGGCATGAAAATGGCTCGGAACGGGACAATGACGTAGCGGCAGGAAGTCGAAACGCGTAACGGATGGCCTGCAGCCGATGGGACAGGACGGGTTGGGCTTAATGGGCTCGACCCGGACGCCGAACTGCTTCGGGCTCTCTGGCTGGCCCAGGCAGACACAAATTCGGGCTTGGCGGCGCTTAAAAATATTGTTATTGCCTTAAGTGCCCGCGGTCAATTTTACGAATGTATTTAAATTGTCGAATGGTTTCGACAGGGATGGGTAAACAACCAAAGACATCTAAATAAAGGGAGACAAAACAATTTACATTTTATCGCGATCACGAACCGTGATCGGCAAAAATCGATAATGACAGATTTACGCGGTATGTGATAGAATACTGTTCGAGTTCCAAATGTTATCATTGTGATTAATGTTTTTTTGGGTACCTATAGAAACGTTAAACTAAATATTTGTATAGGTATACCTATAACTTTAATTAATATACATAGATTGTGCCAGGATTATACCTTTAGTTTTCTTATTAAATTATATTAGGGAAATTACAATGACAACTAGCGGCATCGCTGTGGATTCATCTTTACTACGAAATTGTCGAAATCTGTAGGAATTACGCTGACATTTGACGTTTTCATTTGTTTTCATCTTTGTTTTCATTCAACTTATATTTGACAGCGCGTGGTTGTGAGTTTTCTGCGGTAGTTTTTGTAGCTTTTGAACAACTTTCTAATAATTATTAGTTTTTATTGAAAAGAAAACAATTTTTTTTAGTTAAAAACTATAGTTTTTAACTATCTACGATGGTTCGTCAGTGCATAGTTTAATAAAAACACTAAATCACCACAATACACCAAAACACTTTTACTTTTACACTGGACGCGCGTTTCGCTAACCATGTTAGCATCATCAGCAGATGATTATAAACTAAAGTACAATCTACAAGGTGAGCGTTTATATACTCGCTCAGTGGGCCCCGAGTGGGCGTGGCAAAATCTAGCCAACCGAGTCACGTGTATTTTCTTATTTGTTAGCGCTTTCGATTGTAAAATTTGAGTTACCCTCAGTTAGACCTCAGGCAAAACTAGTTATAATGGAAAATTGGTCTGAGGCAATCCCAATCAATTTTTGATAAAATTCATAAATTTTTGATAAAAAATACATCGCGCCACTGATAGAACCAAATGACAGAAAGATAGACGAAACTCAACCGTGTTGTCATATTTATGTACCCATCTCTTTTTAACTCTCACAAAAGTGTCAAACCATGTATGATTCTAAAAAATTGAGTTGTATGAATGTAGTGTTCTGTCTACCCATTTAGATATCTTTGTAAACAACAACCTCTTAATATATTAAAGCTATAACGTGCACTAATAGACATAACATCTTCAATAATGGAACTTAAAAACGGCGTCCATTAATTCCAAAAAGACCTGGTTTATAAACACAAACGCCAAAGCAATAAATCTCTTAAGTCTCGGTCTTAATACTAATCATAATTATAATGTTGAGACCGAGACTTCGAGTGTTATTGCTTTGGCTTTTGTAATAAAATAATAAATAATAAATAACGCTTTATTGTGCAAAAAGCCAAAATAGCTTTATCGACAAAGCATTTACACAACAAACAAAAGCACAAAAAACATACAAATAATAAAAAATACACAATACAAATCATACAATTCAAAAAAAATATTAAGTCATCAAAATGACATATAGAACATAAATAGACAATTATTTCAGAGCACAAAAAAAAAGGCGCATCAATAAAATTTTACAATAGGAAGATTGTAAATAGATACAATCTTAAGAGTTATAAAATATTAAATACTTGACCTTTGACCAGTGTGTGAGATGATCAAAATTTTAAAATTCAAAATTGTTCATGATTAAACATCAACAAAAAAGTCGTTCACCGCATATAGGACTCTCTCCAGTAAGTATGACTTCAGAGCTTTACGAAATGCGGGAAAGAATGAAAGCGACTTGATATTCAAAGGCAGATGATTGTACATTTTTTGGCATTGTACAGTATTGAACTTTTAACTAGTTCTGAGCTCGTGGTTGGCAGATAAAGATCGTGCTCCGCATTCCTGAGTGGATAGTTATGAGATGACCTCTCGGGAATAGCAGATATCAAAAGATATGTGCTTGCGGATTAAGCAAACGGATTCAAAAATGAATAAAGAAGGAAGAGTCAGTATTTTCAAACTTTTAAAGAAATCTTGGCAGTGAGTTCTACTGTTCAGTCCCAATAAATATCGAACTGCTCTCTTTTGAAGTCTGAAAATACGATCAAATTTTGTTGCGCAGCAAGTACCTCAGAATGGTAAGGCATAACGAAGATGTGATTCAAAAAGGGTGCAATAGGCTATTCTAGACGTTGATAAGTTAAGTTCCTTAGAAACTGATCTTAGCGCAAAACAGGCAGCGCTTAGTTTCTTTGATAGAGCTTCGATGTGAAAGTCCCATTTTAACGAGTTGTCTACAACAAGTCCTAAGAATTTCACAGAGTCCACGACGTCAATAGTGGTGTTATTAAGTACAAAAAGGTTGTATAGTACTTTTATTTGACAAAACTTTAGTTTTTGATAGGTTGAGGCATAGGAGATTAGAATCGCACCAAGATTTAATGGTGCGTAAGTCACTACCTTAACGAAGACGTTTTTTTTTAGCGTTTTTTAGCGTTTAACGTAGATCTTAGCGTTACCTATAAAGCTCGACCAATACACACAAAAAAAAATAATAAAATAATAATAATAATTAAATAATTGAAACTGAATTTAATTATTTGAATAAATTTCCTGAGAATTTTAATTTATTATACTTAGGAGATCTGAGTGAGTTTTTTAAATAAAAACGTATTACAATATTTTGAAGGGATGCGATGCATCAGTCGCATCAATGGAAGCTTCTCCGCTGGTATCATCTACATATATAAAATGCTAATGTTTATCTGTGTCGTCTTTACTGAAGTAACGACTTGCTCTAGAAAGTTGCTTTTTTTACTAAAAGATAGCTAATTGGCTCTTCTAGAAACTGTCGCTGCTGGATTTTTTTAATCATTTAATTAAACAAAAAATAAAAACAAAAAAAAAATCACACTTACCTTAGCTCCTACATTGGGCACGTACAACGCCGGGTCCCTCGCCGATCCCTCGTTACCCCCCTCCACTGGTTCAATCCCCTCGTCCACGTCACACACACTGAACCTTCCCGCAATCCCGTCAGCTGGTTTCGCCTCGTACCCCTCCGGCTTGCCCACCCTGAACCCTTTAGCCTTCACCCAAAACCTAAACTTGCTGGTGTCCGCGCTGGCCACCTCCTCCCCCCTCAGCGTCCTAATAATCCGCGCGTACTTCCTTAACGTTACCGTTTTTGTCTTAGCTAGATCACCATAAGTTCGCACCACCCACGGCTGGTACGTTTGTAACATTTCATTTTTACCGGTGTCCAAAAGGCGCGTTTTTTTATTAGACGACGCGCCGGTGTTGTTGTTTTTCTCTTCCGTATCCGGAGAGGAAGATTTGCGTTTGGCGCGACGCTGAAACGACGCCGCCGTTGCCAACATGTCCGAAAAATCCCCGAAATCACCTGTTGCACGTATTTAGCGGTCTTTCTCTCGAGAGCGATGATACCTCTAAAAAGGCGGTTAGGTTTTAACCTCGGCGATCGGTGGTGTTGCGGCAGACTGAGGACGGCGAAGAGCGCGTCTCGGGACGGGACCCCAATGTAGGAAGCGCCGAGTCCCCCACTACGTGCGGCCCGTGTAGGGATGACGGACGTGGGGCCGCCGAAATTAGGAACGCTCGAAGGGCCACGCACGGGGTGGCGGATAGCGGTGTCCGGTGTTGGTCATTGGGTTTTTTTACGCAGGCTGGAAGGTTGTTGTTTTAGGAGGGTATCTCGGTGGTCGAGTATTTTGGGATCGGGTGCTTAGAGTTAATTTCGAGTGTAACGGTCGATAGAAAGAAATTAAAGTATGTTAAACTTGGAAAATATAAGTTCGTTACAGTCGTAAACAGTTGAAAAAGTGGTCAGAAAAATGGGAAGAATAACGGTTCACAAAATTACCACAGTGGCGCTAATGACGCATAAATCTAAAAAATGAAAAGTAACCATAGATAAGAGAATAAAAATAACGTAACCAAAGATTACCCAAAAAAGCTTTGATACCCCAAAAAAAATTGGAATATAAAACAATTATTTTTATGTATTAGAGGCCCAGTCTATTGCTGCTGAATAAAAATCGATAATTTATTTCATGTGTCATGAAAATAAAATTTGTATTTTTTTGAAACTCGCACCTTCACGTCAAATATTTATCTCTTTAATCATCAGTCTCTTTTATCATTTCCTGTTCTAAAAATATTCGGCGCATATTTTAAATTTTAGATTTTTGCTAGCCATCTTAAGTCTTCCCTTTTTTATGACTATTTTTAATGCACGAAGATATTTCTCCTTACGTCTACACTCCATAGTATGTATATCCCTTTTTTTATAGCGTCCTCCATAGTCCTTCCGGTGTCCGGTGTGATTAAGAATGTTGTCCCAACCTCCTCTATTTATTCCTCTGGTTCCTTTCAGACATGGCTCTATCTATTCCTTGATTATATTATTCTGCCAATCTGTAGATGTCCACTGCATCACTTGTTTTGGTATTTTCTCATCAGCCATTCGTTGTACATGACACTTCAGTTATTTTTCTTGTACACTATGTTACCTTCCACTTTCATTTTTGTCTTATTCTCCCGTTTCGAATTCTGTATAAACGGAAGATTAGACCTGATCTTCGCCAGAAGTCCATTTCGGTCGACAACTCCTTTTTATGGCTTTCGCTTAACTGCCATACCTCAGAGCCATATGACACCGCACTTTTCAGGATCGATCCGACCCATACAGCACACTACGTCCCAGGGACGTACATTTTATGTCCATTTTACGAAAATTTTTACAACGCATTACAAAATGTTATTTAATTTTAATATCATGACTGGATTATTTTGGTCAGATATACCTAATAATAATGAATGGACTGGATCAGTGGATCTTTTCTAGGCTAACGTTAATTCAAGTCACTCTAACCTACCTCTACTTCATTTATTAATAAATCTAACCCGACCGCTATACAAATGATTTCCTAAATTATCCAATGACCATAATGCATGACAGCCTTTGAAGAAATCTGATGAGTTAAAAATGCAATATATTATGCAATCAAGCCTAACAGGAAAATTATGCAGTCCTATGTTTAAATTTAAGTTTAAGTTATTCGTTCACATTCGAGTCTTGTCGGAATCGGAAGTCGTTTTCTAATGGCGTTTTAGATTGGCAGAGCTAGTGCGCACGTGCGCACTCCACCACATCTTTTATTAATCAACGTCAAACAATAAAAACAACAATACACTGAGTGCGCACCCATGTGCGCACCTACTCCGATCCAGTTTTCGATTGTGTTGTGTGAGTGCAAGGTATGAGTGGGTGTCATGGTGGCCGTAGGTTGTTCTGTTTGTTTTTTTTGTCGTTGCCTTCGTTGCTTGTTGTTTCAAGGTAAGTTATAGTTTAATAATATATAATATTAATGTGGCGCACAGATACTTCTAGCAAATATTACAAAAGGGCAAAAGTTCAAATTAAGCGGTTTGAAAGAGCTCTTCAAGAGGCTCCGAACAAAATAGACAGCCTGCTTCATTTAATCAGGCGTCTTGCCTTCAATCTTGTAATGATCAACATAGCACATCAGATGTTTCAGTTCTTGATTTACAGTCTGAAGATGCTCTGCCACATCTTAACATTAGCGAAACTGAAACAGATAACCCTCGAGATAACTTATGTTGTGTATCTCATAGTGGGGAATCATCAGATGAATTACATGACACTGCCACATCTAATGTGATATATTATACGTCCGGGGAAGCCCAAACTATTTCAGGTGACTCTAGATAGCTACCAATTTTATAATCAATATAATCAATAGATCCGAATTATAGTTGAATGAGATAGATAAGATATGGTATGACATGTTGAATAGAATGTGAGTGGCTAGAGTAGTTTTAGTATTTAATTACTTATATTATTCAGAGTTGTAAATGTTTGTTTTGTTATTTTCATGTATAACGAGAGTCTGCTTACCAATGATCAACTAAATGGATATTTGAGGTGAATTTGCATAGCGAGACCTGTTTGAGTAATCTCCAAAGATATTCACTTTTACAAGTTGCACCAACTCACCAGTCAGCTAACAATGGAGGAAAAGTCCCAGAGAAGTTGGAATCCTTCAAAAACCTCCAAAAACAGTTCACAAGAAGATTGAAAAAAAAATCAATTTGTAGACAAAGGTAAACTAAACAAACAAAGTAAACAAACAAGGTACACAAACAAACAAACAAAAGATAATACAAAACATTATACAAATAATATTGTCAGTGTTATTGTTTAAAATAAACATTTATAAATGTTTACAATGTCAAAGAACAAAAAAATAAAAATAATATTCAAAAATAGTATACAATCTTAAGAGTTATAAAATATTAAATATTTGACCTTGGCCAGTGTGTGAGATGATCAAAATTTTAAAATTAAAATTGTTCATGATTAAACATCAACAAAAAAGTCGTTCACCGCATATAGGACTCTCTTCAGTAAGTATGGATTGTGAGCTTTACGAAATGCGGGAAAGAATGAAAGCGACTTGATATTCAAAGGCAGATATCAGGCTACTGGGCATTTCTTGTACAGTATTGAACTTTACTAGTTCTGAGCTCGTGGTTGGCAGATAAAGATCATGTCTGCATTCTGAGTGGATAGTTGCGAGATGGCCTCTCGGGAATAGCAGAGCGCGATATGTGCTTGCGGATTAAGCAAAACGGATTCAAAAAATGAATAAAGAAGGAAGAGTCAGTATTTTCAAACTTTTAAAGAAATCTTGGCAGTGAGTTCTACTGTTCAGTCCCAATAAATATCGAACTGCTCTCTTTTGAAGTCTGAAAATACGATCAAATTTTGTTGCGCAGCAAGTACCCCAGAATGGTAGGGCATAACGAAGATGTGATTCAAAAAGGGCGCAATAGGCTATTCTAGACGTTGATAAGTTAAGTTCCTTAGAAACTGATCTTAGCACAAAACAGGCAGAGCTTAGTTTCTTTGATAGAGCTTCGATGTGAAAGTCCCATTTTAACGAGTTGTCTACAACAAGTCCTAAGAATTTCACAGAGTCCACGACGTCAATAGTGGTGTTATTAAGTACAAAAAGGTTGTATAGTACTTTTATTTGACAAAACTTTAGTTTTTGATAGGTTGAGGCATAGGAGATTAGAATCGCACCAAGATTTAATGGTGCGTAAGTCACTACCTTAACGAAGACAGTCGCATCATTGCGCTGTGGAGATATTTTTATTTTTAGCGTTTAGCGTAGATCTTAGCGTTACCTATAAAGCTCGACCAATACACACATTAAATAATTGAAATTGAATTTAATTATTTGAATAAATTTACTGAGAATTTTAATTTATTATACTTAGGAGATCTGAGTGAGTTTTTTTAAATAAAAACGTATTACAATATTTTGAAGGGATGCGATGCATCAGTCGCATCGATGGAAGCTTCTCCGCTGGTATCATCTACATATATAAAATGCTAATGTTTATCTGTGTCGTCTCTACTGAAGTAACGACTTGCTCTAGAAAGTTGCTTTTTTTACTAAAAGATAGCTAATTGGCTCTTCTAAAAACTATCGCTGCTGGATTTTTTTTTATTTAATTAAACAAAAAATAAAAAAAAAATTCACTCTTACCTTTGCTCCTACATTGGGCACGTACAACGCCGGGTCCCTCGCCGATCCCTCCTTACCCCCCTCTACTGGTTCAATCCCCTCGTCCACGTCACACACACTGAACCTTCCGGCAATCCCGTCAGCTGGTTTTGCCTCGTACCCCTCCGGCTTGCCCACCCTGAACCCTTTAGCCTTCACCCAAAAACGAAACTTGCTGGTGTCCGCACTGGCCACCTCCTCCCCCCTCAGCGTTCTAATAATCCGCGCGTACTTCCTCAGTGTCACTGTTTTTGTCTTAGCTAAGTCGCCGTAAGTTCGCACCACCCACGGCTGGTACGTTTGCAACATTTCATTTTTACCGGTGTCCAAAAGGCGCGTTTTTTTATTAGACGACGCGCCGGTGTTGTTGTTTTTCTCTTCCGCATCCGGAGAGGAAGATTTGCGTTTGGCGCGACGCTGAAACAACGCCGCCGTTGCCAACATGTCCGACAAATCCCCGAAATCACCTGTTGCACGTATTTAGCGGTCTTTCTCTCGAGAGCGATGATACCTCTAAAAAGGCGGTTAGGTTTAACCTCGGCGATCGGTGGTGTTGCGGCAGACTGAGGACGGCGAAGAGCGCGTCTCGGACGGGACCCCAGTGTAGAAGCGCCGAGTCCCCACTACGTGCGGCCCGTGTAGGGATGACGGACGTGGGGCCGCCGAAATTAGGGACGCTCGAAGGGCCACGCACGGGGTGGCGGATAGCGGTGTCCGGTGTTGGTCATTGGGTTTTTTACGCAGGCTGGAGGGTTGTTGTT